GTAATAAATAAAATTTGGCACATAGGTTCCTTAAGTGATGTAAATGAGCACTAAGAAGGGATTTTTTGAAAATTCGACCGCTAAGGGGGTGAAATTAGGGATGAAAAGCTGCATAAAAATTTGTTAAAATCTGGTTTAAGAGTATGAAATTTTTCACGAGTGCTCCTTGACTGACGTAATTGAACACTAAGGGGCAATTTTTGGAAATTCGCTCGTTAAGGGGGTGATATGGGGGGTACTTTTGTATACAAAAAAAAGCATGTCCTAGGACTACGAAATTTTGCACAGAGGTGCCTTAAGTAGCGTAACTTAACAGTTCGATTATACAAAGCGATTTTAGGAAATTCTTCTACTAAGGGGTGAAACTGGGGGTGAAATTTTGCATACTTTTTTAAAATTAGTCCGAGGAGTTTGAAATTTGGAAATTGTTAATTAAGTGACGAAAGTGAGTACTCAGAAGCAAATTTTGGACATTCATCCCCTAAGAAATAAGGGATGAAAATTGGTATAAAAATTTGTTAAAATCGGTTTAAGAAGTATGAAATTCTGCGTAGACGTTCCTTATGTAACTTAATTTAGCACTAAGAGGCAATTTTAGGAAATTTTCCCTCTAAGGGGGTGAAATGAAGGGTGAACGTTCTGAAAAAAAATCTGTCCTAGAAGTATGAAAATTTGCACAGAGGTTCATCAAGTGATGAAAGTGAGTACTCAGAAGCGAATTTTGGGCATTCATCCCTTAAAAATTAAGGGATGAAAATATGTACAAAAATTTGTTAAAATCGGTTTTAGAAGTATAAAATTGTTCGCAGACGTTCCTTATATAAGGTAATTTAGCACTAAGAAGCAATTTTTCGAAATTTTCCCTCTAAGGGGGTGAAATGAGGGGTGAACTTTCTGAAAAAAATCTGTCCTAGAAGTATGAAAATTTGCACAGAGGTTCCTCAAGTGATGAAAGTGAGTACTCAGAAGCGAATTTTAGGCATTCGCCCCATAAGAATTAAGGGATGAAAATTTGTACAAAAATTCATTAAAATCGGTTTTGGAAGTATGAAATTTTGCGCAGACGTTCCTTATGTAACGTAATTTAGCACTCAGGAACAATTTTTGGAAATTCGCCCTCTAACGGGGTGAAATGAGGTGTGGACGTTCTGAAAAAAAAATTGCTTGTTATTGCTAAATTACGTTACATAAGGAACAAACCGAATTTCATACTTCTAAACCCGATTTTAACAAATGTTTGTACAAATTTTCATCCCTTATTTCACTCTCTTAGGAGATAAATGTCCAAAATCCACCTGTACAAAATTCCACACTCGTAGGACTGTTAGTTTTAACTAACAATTTATTAAAGTGCAACTATATAAAAATTATACAGGGTGGCGCCTCTCATACGACTCGGAGGCTCCAAGGAGAACGACCAGTTCGTATTAAAATGAAATTTTGTGAGCATATGTAAGTTAATTCTGCGCACGTTTTAAAAATATAGAGCGTTCTACAGGGTGTCCCCAAAAAAAGTTACACATCAAATTTGTGTTTTTTTGTAACGGAATACCCCCTTTATTAATTAATTTTTAGATTCTAAGAGAAAAATAAAGGTGTATTTTATTAGGGAAGTATATGACTGAAATGTAAGGTTTTAGACTTACTTAAGATTTTGAAGAACAATTTTTAAATTTCAAGAAAAACTACCTAAATTGGAATTTACTCTATTGCACTTTAAATCAAATTAAACCCTGACCCATAAAGTTATACAGGGTGGGGCAAAATTAATGCTGAACATTGGTATAACCTGTATAACTCCTTTATTACCCACCCTGTATAACTCCTTTAGTTTAATTGAATCACCCAGAATATTATTCCGATATTCAATGGGAAATTCATGTCACTTCCAAATACTATTAAAGTTGCCGGCCTACCCCTCAAACAAAGATTTTCCTAGATATTTTCATTTCTATGATTTAGTGTGAATAGATCTTTATTATTTGATAAAATCTAGGGTGGCTGTGATATGTCTGACGTTACTTCAACATAGCTGTCAAATTAGTTAACTTTAGCGACTAGTTATCATTTTGTGTCAGTTCGTCAGTTGAAAAACAAAAAAAAAATCTAAGAAATTTTCCGAAAATAGAAACTTATCCTACATCAGAGAGAATTGATATGATTCTATTAGTTAGCTCCTGATTTTATCTAGTCTGGGCTTTTTTTGGGATTAACATATATCAAATAAAAAAGCCCAGACTAGACAGTGTTAACAAAACTCGACCAAACCAAACCAAACTATTGTCTGAAACTGCATTTTTTTACTTACTAAATATGAATTTTACTTTGTTTTGTTGATCTTTGAAAGGTGTATAAAGTCGAATCATTTTAGATTGGACATTTAAATTTTATGGGATTTTCGGGATCCCGGAATTTAATATCGGGATTTCGGAGATAAACATACACGCCGCCGGGATCCTGGGAGTTCGGGATTTCAGGAAACTCTAGTCGTGAGATTAATGATGTACAGATGCATGTCATGTTGATTTGGAAGTGACAATCGATAAGATTTATCATATAATTTTACATACCTATTAAACGACAGCGATCTTCATTTCCAAGCCCACTCCCATGCCTTTTTTTTCTATCGTACGGTATATTCACTAACTGCATTACCTACTTATAATTTATAACAGTTTATATTCACTGATTCATTTATAATTTGTATCCACTTAATATTACTTGATTTATCCATCGTAAACTTTGCATAGATATAGAAATATAACGATGGACAACTCTTAATGTGTTAAATTATACCCTACGATCGAAAAAAAAACGGCGTCCGATTGGTTTGGAAATGACGATCGATGACATTCCCCATATAATTTTACATATCAAATGACAGCGATCTTCATTTCATAGCCATCGCTGACGCCGTTTTTTTTTCGATCATACGGTATATGGTAAAAGCCATCGATCACCATTTCTAAGGTAACTTAACGCCGTATTTTTACATACAAAATGTGCAAAAAAATTCTATATGAATGAACTCACAATTTTCTATCCACTTTGTACATAAATTAGGATCTCTTGACGCATGAAACTTAAACACATGTACACCTGATTTCCGAGAAATCTCACAATTGTAAAATTGACACTTATTACCAGATATTTTAATAATAATTATCACTAATCACACAGTTGTAATCAAAGACAGTCAAAGGTATATAGTATATTACCATCACAGATTACCATATATTACCCGGCTTTTAAAATATCCATTAAAAACAAAAAACAGTAACGACATATCTAAATATTCTATCCTTGTCGCATATGGTTCGTTCCTGTATTATTCTGTGATAAGGGAAGGAATAGAGATTTTCTGTGATAAGTGGTAAAGCTAGGTTTTCATATGTACAAATTTGGCAAACTTTCCAGGAAATTCGGTCATATTTTTATTATAAAATTATTTATCATAAACAAATTTATTGTAAAAAAAAAATTTGAACGTATATTCAAATTTTAAACGTTTCAATTAATAAATAACGTAAATCACTTTTAAATTAAATTTAAGAAAAAAAAATCAAAATTAATAAAACGTAAATCACTATAACAAATCATTATTTTAATTTCAAATTTATATTTCGAAGTTATATTACAAGTTATTTACTGTTGTCTTATACAGAGTATATCAAGACAAATGCGAAACTTTAAGGGGTGTATTCTTTGTTATTTGTCAACATTTTTAAAATAAGCTGAAGAGGTTGAAATAAACTATTTCTAATATTCGTTAATTTGACAAAAAACTGGAGCAACGGTATGGAAAAAATGGTTAGATTTGTATATTTAGAACGTTTTTATGACTTGCAATTTTTCCATTAAATTCATTATTTGAAGTTAAAAATAAAATGTAAATCATTATGTATTGGGACCAAAAAAATATTTTAGCAAAGAAGCTGTTCGCCTTAAAAACAGTTTTATTTTCTACTACTGTAAAATATTTTTACAAACGACATATAAAGATAATTGATCGACAAACATGTTTTAAGCTACCCTTCCTAAATCTTCCTTAAAATAAAAAGATTAACAGATGGGAATACATATTATACCGTATGATCAAAAAAAAACGGCGTCCAGTTGGCTGGGAAATGGCAATCGATGACATTTCCCATATAAATTTACATTTAAAATGACAGCGATCTTCATTTCATAGCCATCGCTGACGCCGTTTTTTCGATCATATGGTATATCAAATAAAGTATTATTAGAAAAGCTCACTAGATTGTTTTCTAGTAAAAAAGACCTTATTTTGTCACAACAGGTGACATTTTTTTGTTTTAAATCAAGTAGGTTTTAAAAAAACTACAATAGGTAAAAAAGTTTCTAAACAAATAGAATATCCAAATTAATTTATTTCCAATGACAATAATGTGTAAGTTTGTAATTAAAGTTAGTTAATAAGAATAATAGGTGTAGTATATTTCAACATCATTCACTGGTTTTAAAAACATCAAAAAATATGCATGTGTTTTCATAGTATAAATATGAATTGTTCCTTACGTTAGTTCTTATTGATATAAAAGCAAAAAAGTATAAAAATTAAAAGCTGCAATTTTATTAAAAATATGTTATTCTAACACATATTTTTTTAACTGTAATGTTCTAAATTGATCAAAATATAAATGTTATTTTTTTCCTAGGAAAAATAAAACTTCATAACTTAATTTTCATAAATAAATTTATTTCTATTAAATTTTATAGAGCAATTTGTATTACAGTTTTATTTCACATATTTTGTAATACTGCTTCGGTGCAGTGCCCCATTGCTATCTGTGAGTTCATTTAAATTATGACGACATTACTGATCTAGAAGATAAAAATGTACCTAAGTACCTTAATATTATAATCAAAAATGGCTAATTTTGTAAATGATTACCTATTATTATAATGGTTAGATGAGTTATGAATGTAAACTTCTTTACGTTGGTTTCTTGAAGTTAGGTGATATTAATTATCTTCGCATCATCATGGGCTCTAATCAACTGTAGAGTATTCGTCAATCAACCTGAAATATGTAATATTATTTACTTTATATTTACGAAAAATTATCATTTTCTTTTTATGAAAATTTTGAGTTTAAATTTAAATGTGATTAGAATAAATATACATCAGTATTTAACATTTTATCATAGGTAATATTCTAGATATTACCTGTGATTTTATGCTAAAATGTTTAGTTTTGTGAAAATATTACTTACCTATAATATTTAAACGAGTTCCTGAATGTACAATTTGTTTATCACGATGTCAAGTTCTAAATCTTGTATTAGTTGTCTAAAACTGTTTGATTTTGCTTAGTTATATTGTATCCTATATTTTATTAAACAAACTCAAAATAATGTTTATAATTACCTTCATCAGCCTTCATATCATTAAAGTTATTATTATCACTTATCATTATCAGTCATTATGTAGTTATTTGTTCATTTGTTGCTCTGTTTCTTGTTGTTTGTTTTCAAAGATCATTTTTGAGGTTAATGTCATATGAAACTTTTCGTAATTAGGCAACTGGTAAATGACGTGTGACGATAAATTAATAAAATAATAATGAACGTATTAAGTTAAATATTTATATATTAATTTAACATATCTATTTCATGTTTATAAATTACATAATTTTTAATTTGGTATATCTTTAATTTTATATATTCATAATGAATTGAAATATATTTCGATATAACGTTTGGCAACCACGCAACTGAAGTGCAAGCGACATCTGTGCAAGAGAAGCAAAACCTCCCAAAAAAGTGAGAAAAGATATCTAAAAATTTCAGATTATTGAAATGTCACTCCAATATTTTTCCAAATTGGAGTGAAATTAGGGTGACAATTTTTAACACGTAAGGAGCCATCTGGATTATGTGTTATCTGTGATAGTACTAACAATATCTTGTATTATTCAAATATTAAATAATATTAACTTTGTACATTTATCACCAACCATCAGTTCATAAAACAGTTTTTAGTAATGTTTATTTCTTTGGGTATGAACTACAATAATTACCTTCATACCTACAATAAGTACCTTTAAATACCGAATAATATAAAACACAAACAATTAAAAATTGCAGTATCTTGGTATCTATAAGCTGAACTGGGACCAACTAAAGACATTTAGAGGCTTTACTTGAACAATTTAGATGATACCGACACAGATACCGACGACACTTAAAATTTTATGCTTCTAATAGCTTCTCAGTATATGTATACCGATGATTGATTCTAAATACAATTAATTAACAAAAGGCGCATTTAGTATTACCACAAACTTAAAGATAAATAATTAATTAACCCTAAAGCCAATAAAATAGAATATAATATGTTTATTTATATTTTACATTACTATAATTTATTTTTGTTGTTTAAAAAATATGTGTTTATTTTTACAAAGCGAACTACGTAAATTAGTTTAATTCTTTATATCCAACTTTTCTTCAAATTTAGTTCAATTCAATTTTATCTGTTAAAAAGTAATTAAAATGTTCTCGAATTGATTTATATTTTTCTATTTTTTCTTCTCTTTGTTTGCGGCGACGCACAGTGGTTCCAAATGGTGAAAAAGTGCCGCATGTGATTTTATTGACGTAATTTTTTGGTTAAGGGATACATTTTGTAATTGATTTTGTGGAGCACAAAGTTAAGGTTTCAAGGTATTAAAAAACGTCAATTGTGAAGTCCTTAACATCCGCAAAACCAGGACGACTGCTCTACATCCACGCGTCAGCTGCACTCGTCTATTTATAACTGCCCTCTCTAGGCCACAGCCGCCGGCATTTATACCTACAGCTAAAGATTTTAGAATAGTCCATAGATCGTTAGGTGCATAGAGAAGGTTTCGAATGTTCTCGTATGTACTACTCCATTCCAGTGGGACTCGATTCTTCTCGAATCTTCGAATGAATCATTACGGTGTCTATTCTTTAATGCGATGTTAAGGTCATCCGAGGGCGGGTCATATAGTTAGGTTAGGTCGAGTCCACACCGGTCCGCAACAATATGAATCGCTAGTTAAAAAACGCCATCTTCAAACTCATTAGTAATTTCGTCATCTTCATCATTACTTGTAGAATTGTCCTCGTCAGAACTCATATCGTACCCCACACCCATCATGGCATTGTTAACAGAAGTTTCCTCATTGAGAAAATCTAGAGGTAGGTGTACATTTTCATCCTTTTTTGTTGTCTTTGATGACAACTGAAATTTCTTGAATAAGAAAAAAAATAGAGGATCAGATGTTAACATAAATCTGTTAAAAATATCTTCTAAAGTGTCTTTCCGAGAAATCTTTCTTGAGAAGTCTGTACGATATCTTTTAAAATCTTTGTTGCGGGCTTCTTGTGGTTCTTCACTCAATGCTCCTAAATTAAAAAAATAATTATTGTTTGGTATTAAAGTTTTATAAGAAATATTACCTACTGGAATGAAAGGAAATTGTTTCATGTACTCATGTCCATGGTAAAGAATTTTATGAACTGTTGGTGAAAACGTGAATTGAGGGTAGGTTTTGTGAAAAAGTTCAGCAGTTTCACGTGCATAATTTTCATAAGATCAGGTGAAATAATTCTGTTGCATGATATCGCAGCTAGGACATTCGAGAACCTTTCAATAATAGGTAACTCTATCCCTATAATTTCAGATGTAACTTTCGAGTTCTGAAAAAATCTCCTAGCTGTATTTCCGTCATGGGAAATACCAAACCCTGGTTTTGGTTTACCTATGTTTAAACCAGTTTTCTCTTTAAACTGCTTTTGTATTATTTTCTTTTTAGTTTCTTGTTCTTCCTTCGTAGAGGCCAGTCTAAAAATAAATTAAATATAGATGGATAATGCTTGCTGACATGACAGCAACTTCTCATCTAACTAACAATGTTTAATTCTCTCATCTAATATACATACTTGTATGAACATCTCAGTAAAAATTCCATGGAGTTAATTTTTGCATGCAAAGGGGATATTCCAAATTTCAAAACATCTGCATTGGTTTGGCTCGGCAAATTATTCAAAGTTTTTGGTCCAGCTAGACAAACAGGGCATCTCTAAAAGTACAATAGGTTTAAACATTATGCAGAACGTTTAAAATATTATATTTAACAAAAACTCATTTACCGAAGTTGCAGCATTTTTGCACACCGCATTTATTATTTTTCCATCTACCATTGTACAGTAGAATCTATGTCTTACAATGACTTCTACGCTATTATTAATTTTTATTTTACTGTCCTGTATTTCCACAATTTCCTTCATCACTCTAGAATACTCTGTTAGAATTGTGTTACAGTCTTCCTTGCAGAAAGCCATTCTCATTGGTCGACATAAGCTAAAATTTGAAAATGTAATTTATCAAAAATATAGATTAGGCTCCTCCAAATTTTAGTCTAAGTCTAATAACTCGACGAAATTTAGATAAAATTTGATATGTAGTAACATATTGATGTAGTTGGTAGGAAAAAAGGCTCATAAATTTCAGGTTTCCAATCTTCATACCCTTTTTCTTCAGTATTTTTAATCATACCTTGAAGAATTTGGATTTTTATTTCTCCAAATAACATCTTTCTGAGAATCATCTCTATATGTTAATGAAATAGGCACCAAGTTAGTACAAAATACAGTAGAATCGGAATTTTTTGGATCCATAAATCGTTGCTTAAATTCCGAATGACCACTGCTTCCATCCATACCCCATTTATGTGTGGCAATAATATCACATGTACTATTCAGATCAGCAATATTAATTAAAATTCGTTCTACTGTGGTATCAACTAAATTCTGAAGAGTCACTTTGGCTTCAGTTTCAGTAAAATCATCAGGATTTAAAACAGGATAGCTCAACTTTTTATATTTAAGTATCTCCTGGTATGAAGGGTACAGATCCGTACCTGATGAAAAACATAATGAAAAAAAAATATTTATACAAATTGCGAATTAATGAAATTACCTTTCCAAAGTGTAGCTGACCGCATGTTTTGGTACTGTGCCTTTGTTTGCTTGCTGTTGATTATAAATAAAGCGATGGATTCATTAGGCGTAAATTTTTTGGGAATATTTTTTTCAAAGCAGCCAACACTTCATCCGGAGAAGAAATAGCGGCTGAAACTGCTTTAGCAACATCATGTTTATGTTCTTTTTTAAGAACAGAAACGGTTGCGTAAGCAAGGATGTCTGAAGTATAATTATCTCTGACGTCTATAATGAAGTAATTAATATATGGTAAATACAGTGCACAAAATTGAAATAAAAAAATCACCTTTCGTAGTTCTGTCTTTTTGAGATTTGGATAAATCGGAAAAACATTTTCTTTTTGATGGACCGGGTTCCGATTCCCCAGTGCATTGCGAATTTTCGTCTATAGCTACGTCACTGAATACATTTTTTTCTAACCAATCAGCATTTTTCAAACTAAATTTTTGCCAAGAATAAGATGAATCTCTCCATCTTTTGGTCCATTTTTGAATGAATGATTTGAGTATTTTCTTAGCGGATTCTTGCTCCGTGTTCTAAATATCACAATAATTTGTTAGATATAGGGTAATTTCTTCCAAAATTTCAGCTTCCGATTTTCCATTGAATCCATTCTTAAGAAAACGTTTACATAAATTCATACGACTGATGTTACCTAAAATGTCAGGTGTTTTTCAATTGATGAATAGACGCCAGAAGAAATCACCAAATGGTTTTTTTTCTATCTGGCATCAAAAAATTTAGTTTAGTGTAAATTGGGAGTCGCCAGTTCGTATTTTTTTTTAAAACGAAAACAATATTAGGGAAAATTCTATTTCGGCGGGTCATGGTGGGTCTAGATATTGAACTAAAAAGTAGGAGGGGTTCTACAAAGACTTTAAAAATAAAAACTAGCGTGGTGTTCGGTGGTGCTTTTAAGATATTTGAACTCGAAAAACAAATACAGATTATTAAAAAAATACTTACCTGAATGGCCTTCCTCCATGGTTGTATTACTTTTCACACGTATTATTGTTGATTTAATAAAACACCAAAATTTATCTTAATGCTGACCTCCGTTCGATTTACAAAGTGTACAAATGATAAAAATCTTAAAAATGCTCGCCATCAAAAAATAATCAACAAAAAACATAGACGAGATAGTGATAAATGGTTTATCGGGTGCGTATTTGAAATATGTTATTAAAAGTGAGATTTATCAGATATGAATTTTAACCGATATGCGTCACTTTTTGCCATATCGGAACCACTGTGCGACGTTGGCGACGGAATCTGAGTCTATTTGAATATCTTTTCACAACGTGCAATCTTTCATTTCCTTTAAATACTTTAAAGTTTCTTGTTTTTAATTGTTCTATTTTTCTATATCTTTGGTGAGAGAATATTTGAGTTCATTAATGGTTCTTATAAAATTGTTATCAATAATATATGTGTTTAAGTATGTACTGTAAACTTTTTTAAAAGTTTATAATTGTGTACATCTAATTAGATAAGTTGTTACAATTTTTTACGTTTACGATTTTTGTCACAGCTCTGCAAAATTAGTACCATCGGTGTCTCCAATACTAGCAATGTATTCTGTTATCACATTCAATATACTAGTCATAATAAATATAATAGTACGCACATTAAAAATAATCTGCGTCAAATTTGTAGTTGAATCGATGACAATTTTTAACGTGGTGAACCTGATATGTCATTCCTGTCAAAAATTAATGTTTGAAGAGATAAAAATTGAAAAAATTCCAGAAACGCCAATCGTTCAACACAAATGTATAATATATCTAGTTATTGACAACTACCTGTTGAAAATAGGTTTGTCTCTGGGAAATGTTAATTTTTGACAACATTTTATGTCAAAATTTTGAATAAATGAGATAAATGTTAGCTTGCCAGAAATTATCATTATGAGCGAGAGTGCTCTTGATTTTGGTTTTGCTTTTTGTGCAAAACCTACGGTAAAATCTACCATTGCAAGACTTATGCAAGACTCTTCCAAAAGTCATATATGTTCATTTAACAACTTCTATAGTCTGATATCCAAATAGGTACCAGAAACCTATCATAATACCTATCTAAAATTAATTAGGTGATTGGAAAACTGATGACATTTCCATGATTTTTCTGCCATGCCCTTCACATTGAGGAATATAACAATATTAAATTACCTCTGTTTCTTTTCTAGAAATACCCCTGGACCATAGGGGATTGAGGCTTTAGTGATTGATGTTATTATACGACTTTTTTAAACTAGTTTGATAATAAATTATTCACATGAAGGCCGACGATCCATTGATATAATTGGAATGTTCTTGAAAACTTTGAATCTGTCTAGACCATATACATTATTTAGTTATTTTTACTAACTCAGTCTCTAAAACAGTTTCTGTAAAATCATACAGAAAATGTCAATGTATATTGTTAGTTTGAAAAGGTTTAAAATATATAACATCAAACAATCTTGAATGATGAATCATCGAAAGAAATAAAAAAGTGCTAGGCGATTAGGCAGAGGTTACCCTTATAAAAATATTTTGCATGGGGATTGAAACATTTATTGATTGATGCATATATCTATACATGTTTAAACAACTTTCACGATCAATTATTTACATAATGGAAAATCCATTTATGTAATTGAAGTTTTTAAAAATTTAGAAGCTTTCATCGCATTATTATGTTTTTTATCTTGGTAATCTAAAAAGTGTTTTCCGAACAGGTAGGTAATTCAGTATAATATTGATTTTGTCAACTGGGCTCTTAAGGGAAGGAAGAACATAATATAATACAATTTTAAAATTTTCATGGATAATATAAATGACACTTTTGAATTTTTATTTTGCAAATGAAAAGGTAGAATGGAAGAGGGGTTTAATATATTGTGTGTCCCCTTTCTTTGGTTATAATGAGTTATAACTCATCATACAGTCTCAGGGTTTTGACAAAAGTCAGTACCTGAGACGGTTTTACAGAGGCTAGTTCTCCATCTTCGATATCAGTCGTACCAAACTTCACAACACGAATGCTTATCGTCCCGGCGCACTCAGTGACGAGGTGTTCTAGCGTTCCTCCTTTTTCCCCTTGCATTCGCCATTCTTTCTTAGTTTTAATCTGCTGAGGTGTTCGTTGGAGAAACATTGTCCGGTTAAAAAAGCTCGTGACAATCCAATGATTGTTCTTAAGTAGTAGGTACTTAAATCAAGGAAAATCTTGATTTTTTCGGTCGTAAGTTCTGAGACATTTTTTCGAGTTTCTTAGACCGTTGGATGATTCCCGTTCCAGGGTACAGTTTAGTCTTCAAGATCCTTGAGTTCCGCTTTAAGTTGGTTACCACTTGGAAAGCAGAACGGTTCTAGTCCAGTTAGTGGAGTGTTTGCTCCTTTTCTAGCTAGATCGTTTGCTTTTTCATTGTCTTCTATCCCTTGGTAGGCCGGGACCCAGAGTAGGAACTTCGAAATGATGGTTACTGAGTTGATCCCTTTTAATGCTGCTTGAATATCGGATAAGATGGACATCAACTATGCATTAGTTTTTTTTAATTTTAATTTAAAGCATTAGATTCATTGCTGGTTTTGCTTTCTTTACATAAAGCAGTTTTCAACCCCATGATATAAATATTTCCAATTTTTTGTTGTAATAATCGTGAGTGATTTACTATGATTAGGTATTAGTTTATTTTAAAATTTAGAAGCTTTTAGTAGGCATGTTCGGTTCTCCGGTATACCGGTGTCAGCGCCGGCATTACTGAAATATTTCTGTACAGATATATTCACTTATACCCCGCTGGCAAGCAAACATTTAGGTCAGCGTTACATGTATAGGAGTGAGTCGTTATGGCAATCTAGTAAGTTGGAGTGAGCAAAAATACGAAGTATTTATTACATAACGTTAGATTCCATGCGCTGGGAAAATACTCGCCTTCTGTCTTTATTCAGTACATCTTATTTTACTAAGCGTGTTGACCGTACTCTTCGTACACATGAAAACCGGTACCCAAGACCAAAAATGCCGACCCTTAGTATATCCAGAAACTATGGTTACGGGGCTCGTTGAATTTGACACTTTAATAATATATTTTCGGATTTTTGCGCTTAGGCGTAAAAGTGCTTTACTTTTATGCCTAGGCGTTAAAACGACTTTTTTATATTGTCAATTACGTCGCAATAATTAATAGTTTTGTGCCGTTGGAAAAAAATAAATTTATCTTGATGAATTTTATCATAAGTATTTTCTCACAGAGCGAAATACGTGTATTTTCTTCATGTACAGTTAAACCACACAAAAAAGTAAATGTTCCTCTTCATAAAAGATTTTTCCTCATAAAAGCTACAAATCTGTTAAGTGCTGCAGCGTACCTCGTCAGTTATTCTTCCCGTAAACGAAC